CCATTCTCACACCCATAGAAGCAAGAGCCAAGAAATAAAACAGTATACTTATTCCAATGGGTAAATCTGCTGCCACAGACAACTCTAAAGTGCTAAAGAGTAATGATGTAATTCTGAAGACAAGGCAGCATGTGAATCAAACTGTGGCATTTTAACTGCTTTATATGCAAGTGAAAGACAATGACTAAGGAAAACTGAAGACAAACAGATTCCTTTGAACTCTGGTGTTGAAATACTGACTATATCGTGGTTTGACAAGAGACCAAATAAATGTGTTTTTGAAGGGTACTCCTTAGAAGCAAAGATTGTTAAGACTTTGTTTCACATACTTCAGTTATGTTGTGATGAAGTACTAGTGCTTGAAAAAAAAATATATGTTTAAAACAGCAGAGGGTCAGTGAAGGAGAGGAAAACTTTCAACAAGATATATGGACACTGAGTGCAGCACTGGACACATCAGAAATTGTAAGAATGGCACAGATCCAACAATTTCAATGAGGGGGGGGGTACACTTGATGGCACTTACTAATAGCAATATCACCACTATAAACTAAAAGACTATGCAACCTATGTCTGTGACTCCACATTTCCATTTTAAAGCACACTTCTGGATGGGTTCTCCTAGCCCTTAAAACAACAACAAAAAAAACCCTGTAAGAAGTATGATAAACACACACACACATATTAGGTCTTTTTTGAGATGTTTTGTTACAGTGTTAAATTTTGTATATGTTTTATGTGTAACTGAAATTTTCAGTACAAAATATTAACAGTTTTGCAGAGCGAAGCAAAAACTAAACCAACCCTGGTTACTGAAAGTTTCATTAGGCCAAAGAACATCAATCATTGCAATCTGTATTTTCCTGCTTAACTGTTCAATCATCTGGCAAACCTTTAACTATGGCCAGCACAAACGCAAAAAGCTTCCGATTACACCTTGCCAGAGTCTCTCCACAATCTCTCCACCACCAATGTCTCACTCTTACCCTCCCTCAAATCTTGCTGGTCAGTGTGGGGTGCACTCTCTTGCTCATCCTAGTCCCACAGTTGTTGTTGATTTGCAAGATCATGTGTCTGCAGTTAATGTAGCTGAAGACCAGAAGAGGCTCATGTAATGACTAGAAAAGCCAACTTTTACACTAACACTGCACTAACTACAGAACTTTATACATCTAAGAACCAGATGTCTTAAAAGTAACTTACGAAGGAAAAAACCCTAATGAACATGGATAATTCTAAATAAACTAGCTGTATTTTCAATCTTTTTTTTTTAATACTTTCGGGTGGAAACTGTAAATCTCTCTATATAGAGAAACCCTGTAATAACATCTTACTAATTAAATTTTTTTAAAGTATGAAAACTATCACAATAATAAAAAAGCAACCATGATTTGCTATAAAAATAAACAAAATACCAAGATAGGTATTCTCTGGTTTACTCCTTAGGAGAAGTTAGAAAAATGAAAACACCAAAAAAAGTTTGTTTTTTTTTTCCCAAATGCCCATGTACCTATTCTTCTAATGGCAATAAGACTGATGTTTCCCTGACGTTGTTAAGTGCTGTTGAGTCAATTACAACTCATAATGACCCTAGCAACACGAGTTCAGAACCTTGCCATATCCTGCTCTACTGCTGTGCTGTGCTCAAGCTCATTATATCCTTAGAATACAGTGGGCAAACCAAACACTAAGCCAAAACAGCTGTCATGACAACAGAAGGAGAAAAGAGGACAACTGTTTGAGAAATGGGTATGTCATTCTAGTATTTATTTTATATATGCACTTTGGAAATGTGAAGTGAAAGGGTGCCTTAGGAAAAGCACCTAATTACAGAGTAAATTTGCCAGTAAAGAGGAATGCTTAACCTTAGTTTGTAATAAGCAGTAATTCTGGCTCTGTTGGCTTGGTGGTTAAGTGTTGACCTTCTAATCAAAGGTTGGTGGTTCAAACTCACCAGCACGGGAGAAAGTTAAGGTAGTCTGGGGCTATAAAGATTATTGCCTTGGGAACCTTACTGGCAGTTCTATTTTGTTCTATAGGGTTTCCATTATGGGTGAGAACTAATCAGATGGCAAGGGGGTTGATCTTGACCTCAAGACCTCACTTTCTTACCCATCTCCTAAAACATAATTGCAAAAAGAAAAGAAGTCCCAAGGATATTTGTGTTTTGACAGTTTTCAATGCCCTAGCCCTAATGCCACAATGGTTAAGTACTGTTAAATGAAAGACTGGTAGTTTGAACTGAACCAACTCCTAACTGAAAGACTAGTTTGAACTCACTCAGGAGCTTCAAAGGAGAATGAACTTGGAGATAAGCTTTCTTAAAGATTAAAATATCAAACTCACTGTCACTGAGTCAATTTTGATCCACAGCAACTATGCAGAGCAGAAAGACTGCACTGGTTGCAATCTTTACAAAAGCAGACTGCCACCTCTTGCTCCCACAAAGAAGCTGGTAGGTTCAAAGTATCAAAATAACTGTGTGGTCAGCAGCCTAGCACTCAATCACCACATCATCAAGGCTCTTTCCTTCTAGATTGTAATTTTATTAATAACAATCTAGAAAATATCACATTAAACTGTTGTAACTAAAAAACTGACTCAGGGGCTGGCTTCTAGCAACAATCAGCAGAAAGGAATACAGCTTTAATCAAATTTCAGGGACCACTTTCTGGAAGAAAAAGCTGTCAGAAGCTTTTTAGAAGCTGCCAAGTTGGTCAGAGTGACCCTATGTACAACTGAATGAATGAAGCACTACTCTATCCTGCTCCATTATCACAATCATTACTGTATCAGGCCTGCTGTTACAGACACGGTAGCAATCTGTATCCTTGGGGAGGTCTTCTCCCTCTTTTAGAGTATTTCATTGTGTTGCACAGAAGGCCAACAGAAGTTGGAACAAACTCAAGGACACCTAGCAACAAAAACTACACAGAAATAGAAGCAAAAATTCAATGTATTTCTGGGTTTGGTGGCTTGGGTGGTAGAACAATAAAAGCTTAAAAAGGGCCAAGGGATACTTTACTGCCTCTAATCTCATTCTGGGTTCTGGTGGTCTAGTGGCAAAAAGCTGTGCTGCAATCCCATAGGTTCTAGGCCACCAGCTGCTCTGAGGAAGAAGAATGGGCAATCTCCTTCAATGCAGTTAACTGTCTACGTAAACCCCCTCAGAGGGTCAGCTATGGATTGGTTTCTAATCGACGGTACACAACAACAACCATCTCATTCTGCACAGTAATAACTTAAGAGTTGGTCTACCTCCTCATCCATAAAATAGAGATAATAACAGTTCTACTCTTTTAGGATCATTGGGAAAGGGCACTTAATAAAACATAAAACCTTATACTTAATTAATTCTCAACAAATGTTAATACCCATAACAATCTATTTAAATCCAAGGGTTACAATAGCTGTCTTTCCAAACTATGATTATAGAACTGTTATATGAGTACTTTAAAAAAGAATTTACTAGAAGAAAATAAAAAGCATTAAGCATAAATCTTGTTTAAAAATCTGTGTTTTAGGCACCCACACATATTCTTAACCTCAGGCGGTTTTTCTGTGATGCCTTCCCTAAGTCACCTCCAACATCTGTCTCTTTCTCTATGCACCACAACTTTGTATATGAAACTCTACATTTATTTCACTGTATTTGTCTCTTTAGCTGATAAGGTCGTAAATGAGAAGGAAAATGCATTTAAGCCTGAACAATACTTGAACTTCAGCAAATTTCTATCGCACAAATGAATAAATCAAAGTTTAATAAATGCTAAATGCATGTAAAATATATTTAACTACTTTCACTTATTTTGAAATTTAATATTTGATAGAAATTTGTACTTAGCTGTTAAGTCACACAAAATGCATAAAGTTAGAAAAATAAATTCATAAAGCTGCTCTCCCAAAGTGTCTATCACAAACTGACATGAATGATGTACTGAATGATGCTTTAAAAGGAGAACACCAAGATGAAATTAAAGGAGAACTTCAAAGTATACAGAAGTACTGCACCATTTACATTTTACTTGAATATACAAGTGAGCTTCACACTCTTTTGCTGGAGGCAAAGAGTTGAAGCAAAGTTTTAAGTGAGGAAAAAGTTGTTTCTATGTTACTAACTTCAAGAATTTCTGTCTTCTAGGTACTGCAGGTACTATGAAAACATGTAAAAAACAATAATGGAAGGTAATTGCTAAGTATTTTGTACAGAGAAATAGAGAGCATTTTCACAGTTTCAATATTCAATACTAATTACTATTATCACTCTTGACTGCATTTAAATATAAAAATGTTGTACCAATTTACCAACTCTCCTTCTATTACATCATAAAATGTCAACCACTAAAAATCAATGCTAAAGAAACATTTTCCCCACTACATTTAGAAGTATCACAAGTGAAAAGTTAACAATTTACAAAATCAAGGTTACTTACGAAACTTGGTTTTACATCTATCAATAAGACCAAAATAAACAAAATAAATGTTTAATCTAAAATGAAACTTAAAGTTTTAAAATAAGAGTTCCTTTACAAGAAAGTAATCTTCTAAAATGTTTTCTAAGTTACAGCCTGGCCAAAAAACTGGTCATTTCCAATTTCTTAAGGTTAAAGCTATTTTTTAGATAGTAAACTATGTACATTATATAGGAGAATAAAAGGAAGGGAAACAGCATCATTGTCTTAGGTCTCAGGCACTTTAACGTACTTCTGAAGAACTAATGTAAAATGGTAATTAACCTACTATAAACTTTTCAAACATCTAAGTAAACCACTATTTCACAAAAATTTTCTTCTTTAATAATTTTAAGCAATTAAGTCATTATGAAACTATCGATTGAGCTTGCACATTAAAGCGACCTATAATACTTAACGAAGGAAGAAAAAAGATGAGATGGGATTTATAGTCAAAAAGTGGCAAGAGACTGTTGCAACTTGCTGAAGAGTCTTCCCTACAGCGGAAACAGTAATTTTAATGACCCTAGGAAGGGTATCAACACTCACCAGTGTGAATCTTCTCATGTCTCTGTAGCAGGTACTTCTGTATGAAACGCATGTCACATTGACTACATTGAAATGGTTTTTCGCCTTAAAATAATTTCACATTCATAAATTAGTTACTGGATAAAACAACAGTTTATAGATACCATTTCTGAGGAAAAATAATCTTACAAACTCAGATTTTGGGAAATTTCAAAATTATCCAAACACAATTTTGTATACTGTTTATTAAAAGAATTAAGAAAATTCCTCTCAAATTTTTCCCAAATAACTTAAAACTCACTTTCTCATAATCACACAAAAATGAGATAAAGTTGGATCTGTATCTTTTAATAAAAATAGGCTAACAAAATAATTTCAAAGAGTTGTTTTCATTTTTTAAAAAATCACATGGCCAGAAAATACTATGTATGTCCTAAATCTCTCTTCTTCCTTTTTATCTGGAGAAAGATGTACCCATTCAGCTCTCTATGGTCACACTCCTTTCTTCTCTATATCATACCTTCAGAAATTTCAGCTAAAAAAAACAAAACACAAAAAGCCCCAGTCTCATCAAACTATCTGCTACAGACTTTCCATTTCCATATTCTATACTAAGAAACTTTCCTACCAACCTGAATTTTTTTCCTATCAACCTGCACTAGTAATTTCCCTCCTTCCTTTTACCAAAGACTTTCCTAAAGGGCAGTTCTACTTGAAGTCTCTAATTCTTCATCACCCACTGTGCTTTGTCACCTGTGATCCCCTTTGATTCACACCAATGATCTTGCCTCAGCTGTCTGTCCTTCCCTGTCCTCCTGTAGATTTTGACCTTGAGTGTGTCCTCTAACATTCTCCTTTCTTTCAGTGTCTAGGACACTGCATTTTCCTCCTCCATCAAATCTCTTTCCCTCATTGCCCTCCTTAAGTTTTTAATTCACTATACAGGTTTAGCCTGTTTCTCCAAAGATCTTTGATCAATCTTTAGTTCTAATATCGACAACATCATGATCTTGGGCATCATTTGTCAGTACTTGGCTGTATCCCATGGAAAAAAATAAATATTAAAAGGCTTTTAAGAGTATACTCTAGTCATTTCTCTAACAGCAGCACATTAAATCAAATCATTGTCCTGATCAAGGTTATTTCATTTTACACCTCTGCACTCACTGTTCTAAAATGTTAATGCTTTGCTGTTTTCTTCTGACACATTGGCCTAAGAACTCTCTGATTTTAGATATGAGAATAGCAATGGTCTTAGAAATGAACAGGAGATGACATTTTACGGGAGATGAAAATAGCAAAGATAATATTTTAATGGCAATAAGCCCATTTGAATTCAAGAAATACCTGTATGAATGAAGACATGTCTCTGTAAGTGATAGTTCGTTCTAAAGGCAGCATTGCAGTGCTCACAAACATGAGATTTAGGGGTTTTCAAACCAAGGGATCCATCCTCATTTATTGTAAGAATCTAGTTAAAAAAAAAAGGCAAAAACAAAGTAGTTTTTAAAACGTACTTAAATACTAATTTACAAAAAACAATAATGCTTTTTAATGCAAACAGTGGTCACTAGAGATTATGAAATTGTTTTCCCCTAAATAATATTGTACTGTAATAATTGTAGGAAAACAGAATGTGACTCTGATGAGTAAGTTACTAATAAAACCCCGAAAGCTGGTAAGGTAAGACCTTACTACTCTGCTCCTTCCCCTTCAATGCACGCTCAATGGAGTTCTAAGTGTTCTCTGCTATGGTGAATTCAATTTTGTTTTCAAATAAAATTCTCACAAAAAACAGGGCAAACCTCTACATTTTAGACACTATTAAAACATATAATCACAAAAGAGTAATTAAATAAATTACAAAAATAAATAGAATTTCATAAAAAGTAAAGTGAGAATGTTCTTTATATAATTAGATGGAAAGAGCTCTAAGATTTACTGTTAAATGAGGGGGGGAAGTGCTCTAAAATTTACAGTCAAATGGGGAAAAAACAAAAAGGCAAGCAGCGAGTATATATTTTGTTGAGTGCCATCGAGTTAGAACTGACCCAAAACTGACGCTCTAACAGATTATCACAGGCAGTGACACGAGAGATTGCCCATCTTTCTCCCTTAGAGAAACTAGTGGATTCCAAGGGTGTGCCTATGGGATTGCAGGGCAGCTTCTTGCCACTAGGCCAAAAGAGCTCCCTAGCATATGTTTTTGCTAATTTTTACACACAAGGAAGTAAATACGGAAATAAAAATTTGCTCATATAGGTAAAAAAGCAATTTAAGTAGGCTAGGCATTAAAATGTATATAACCTTAGCTAATGGCTGGAACAGATGGAGAGATAACAGTGAGAGGTTTTATATTCTCTACATTTAAAATAATATTTTGAACCATACAAATGCTTACCTATAAAATTTCTTTTCTCTTTTTCAGTAGAGAGAAAACTGAGTTTTATAATCACCTTGTTACAAAATCTGGAGTCTAGTTTGGTCCAGGGTCTCTATACTCTCTAAGACTACTAATCTATTCTAAAACATAGATATTTGCTGAGTAAACAAATTATTATAGATAAGTATGGAAATGGAAGATAAAAGACAAAGAAATTAATTTTCTTTTTCTGGGTGTCTTGAGGTGAAGAATATTGAGAGCCTGATTTGGATACGAAAAGGGAAGAAACTAGTCTTTCAATTTATCAACTACTTGTTCAACATGTAAAATGAAACCTAACTCTAGACTATGTGGCTCAATAAAAATGGAAAATATCTCTTTTTTTTCATTAATGAAGTGAGAAATAAGATGGTAGACTATGGTGGGAAGGTAAGGAGCAAAGAAATACAGGAGGTAAGATCAGAAAGATCGTGGCATAAGAAGACATGTATTGGAACTAAGAAATTATGTCTGTTCAACACAGGGTGGAAAATCTGGGAAATGTTTTAAGAAATATAATGAAAGCCTGTGAAAATGGATTTACAGCCTGTAAGCACAGAACGATGACCCCTTCTTAAGTCTAGGTAAAAGGAAATAGGTAAGGGGGAAAAAACCCCAAACAACGTCTTTTAAAATTTTCACTTTAAATTCAGGGAGACAGTTTAGCCTATACTATATGTAAATCAATGGTAATTATTATGCAAATTATACAGGAAATTTGGGTTCTGGGCAAACTGCCAATATGGTCAACAATGCTTCAAAGACTATGCACTAAAGTCATTGAGGAAAACATTTGGCAGGCTAATGGAAGTGGGTGTCACAGCTTCCTGAAGAGTCAGTGAGGATGGAAAGTTTCATCTCTGGCCATTCAGTTAAAATTTTTTCAACCCTTCCAAGCTGCATAATAATATGCAAGTTAACATGGCAAAAGTTAAAAACATAAAACCTCTTAAACTATAAATCAAAGTATTACTACCATAAAGGAAAATTTTTAAAACGCTAAATAAAAAAACTAAAAACATGGTAGTAGCAGGTATTTTTTCATGTGCTGATGATAATAAATGACATGATTTAAGTGCCAAAAAACATGGCAGCTCAATAGATTTCTATGGCATAGCAACTGCAAGGAAAGGCTTTGTGGGGAATAAATCTGTTCCAAGTTATTTAATGTGAATCGGATGTAATCCTTGACTCTACAAAGCCCTATTAAGAAGACAGTTAGGAGTTCTAGGGCATTATTTTCCAGAACAAGAGGTACTGTTTGCTGCCTTTCATTGTGGATTCAAACCTTAATTCAAGGTGGATTTATGGATAAAATAACTACCACTCTCTCAAGCAAAAGACTAAAAAACCTAGCATTTTTAAAACCATAAGACTTAAATATATGAGGCATTCTGCATATCCTTCTCCTGCTTTTTTATTTAGGTTAGAATAACAAACATTTTTGAAAGGCACTAAATTTATCTTGCCTTAGAAAGAGCACCGTTTCTCCTATTTCCAATCTACTCTAAATATATTTGTCTCTTTTATTCACCATTAGAATCCAAAATGTCCAAAAACACTATGACCTAGCTGCCTGTTACCTACACCAGACATCCTTCACAGTTTATCACTGATTTTTTAAAAATTATTTTTTAAAAGTCATACTTTCTCATTTTTCAATGTTTTCTTAGTGGTCAAGAACAAAGTTCTTGGTGGCCAAGAAACGGTACTTCTATACACCAAGATTTTCTCAGTGCAGATATGTCTTCCTTTCCTTCTTATCTTAGCATCTTATCTGCTAAATATTTCCCACCCAACCCCCAACACACACACAAAAACCCCCACATCACTATACAGATTTTATGAATGCCATTACAACAGGAAAGCTTACCTCCCATAACGCCTGCTACACACACACTCTCTCTCTCTCTTTCTCATCCAAATGCTTTAACTTGTCTCCTATTACTAACTACTACTCCTACTACAGGAGAAATATGGTATCATATAAAGACAAAATCAGACTTTCTCAAAAGTAATTATTAACAGTATAAACAATATTCAACACACTTGATTTTTTTAACTATTTAATAAATTCAAAACAATTTTACAAAGAAAGTTTTCAAAATCAAACAGAATGCAGTCACTTTGCCTATTCAATTTGAAGATTAGTCCCTCCTTAAGGTGACAAATCTGGCATACATCTTAATGAGAAAAAGTTCTGTTCTTTCTTTTAAAGGCAAATTTGATCTTCCCCATTATATACATGAACTACCAGAATTATTTAACATATTTAAAAATAATGGTTCTATTTTAAAATAAGCATGCATTACCAAATAGTCCTAAATCAATCAAAATATACACCTAAACCTAAATACGCACCTGGACAAAAGCCAAAGACAACTTAGAAGAGAACAGTCTGATTTAATAGAGTAAATGTCTCAGCTATTGTTAACTGTTTTTACTGCACTAGTACAGAACAGGGAAAGCTTCTAAAATTTTCTTTACTCTCCAAAGCCAGTGGGAAAAGTAAGAATAGTGCAAGTCAAAACATACAACAAAATAATCACCATTTACAGTAACAAGGACTATGAAATTTTAACCCTACTGCTGTTGTTAGGTGTTGCTGAGTCAAGTACGACTCACAGCGACCATACGAACAAAATGTCTGAACTCTCTTCTATATCCTATGCCATCCTCACACTTCCTGACATAAAGAGCCCACTGCAGCAGTTACTTTGTCAATCCACCTGGCCGAGGGTCCCCTTTCCAGCATCATGTACTCCTCTTAGGAATTGCCCTCTTAGCAACATGCCCAAAGTATGTCAAATGAAGCCCCATCATTATCATTCTTGCCTCCATAAAGCATTTTGACTGAATCCTCTCCAAGACATACCGGTTTGTTCTCTTGGCAGTCCATGGGATGATCAGTGCTGCTCTCCAACATCACAACTCAAAGGTGTCAATTCTTTTTAGTTATCTATAATATGCTACTCTCACACAGTCACTTTCTTTCATTCTTCCACATTTTAACTTCTAATACTAGATTTTACTCATCACTAAATTTCATTTTTAAGCAGCCAAACCTTGATAGTTTGAAAACATGAAATCCATAACTAGATAAGAATGAAATTAAATCTAACACAACAAGCATTATGTCATAAAAGCCTAGGATTCCTCCCCCTAATCCACATCCCCATATCCTCTAAACACAGAGGAGTAAAGTGAAACTCCACTTTCTTTCTCAAGCGTAAAGTTTATCAGACCTAATTTTATATATGCACTTTTACTCTGGAAAAAAGTTAGTTTAGCCCTACCCTGAAAATAGCACCAAAGACATATAAAAGGATAGATACAACAGACTTCTCAAGAGGGTAGCAATGGACCAGGGTATATTACACTGAAGATAAAAGATGCTGGACTTGTAGCAACACTACATAGAAAGATCAATTACAAAAAAAAAAAAGGAAAAGAACTGAAGAAATGGCACCCAAAGACATAGCACTCTGTAATAAGTGCAGCAATGAAGAAATCACAGGATTATCTGTGGCTAGCATAGAAGAAAGGAGACCACAGATTAACTAAAAAGCAGTTTTATCACTGGATAAAAGTTGGGTATTTCAGTGTAAAGGGAATTTAAACCAAATGTTGTTGGTGTGTACCACTGAGTCGGAAATGACTCATAGCTGACCCTCCAGCGGGCTTTCTGAGGTGGTAAACTGCATGGGAGGATATTACTCATCTTTCTCCCATGAAGCTGTTGGTGGATTCAAACCATGCAAGTTGGAGAAGTGTAGTACAAGCCTTCAAAATCAGATCAAGTGCTGTTTATGCAATTACTTAAATGCAGGTTCAAACTGAAACTGAAGAAAATTTTAAGTATCCCACAGAACCCAAAATACGACCGACCTTGAATCTATCCCATCTGAATTTAAGAATCATGTCAAGAACAGGTTCTAGGCACTAAGCACCAATGAATGAAGATCAGAGGAATTGTGGGAAGTCATCAAGGGTATCATCCATAGAGAGTAGACAGAGGAGGAAGAAAAAATCAAAACAGATGTCAAAAG